GGTTCCTAGTGACACGTGCCTCCATGTGGATTGCAGTAGTTCCAGATTTGATGAATGATGACAGTGGGCAAACACAACTCTTCTTAACTGTGGAAAGTTGTTTGTCCCTGTCAGCGTTTTGGTGAGGTAGAGTTCATGCTAAATATTTAGGTGGCCTGTGTTTAGTGCATCTCTACAAATTTCTCATGCTAACCGTTATTACTTCTATAGTAAAGAATGGGATATTAACAGTAATATTTCCCATATTTAAGCATGATTTTATTGGTCTACAGAATATTTTAATCAAAAGCACAAGAAACATAATTCTTTTAAAGAATATGATAAAACTGTGTTTTTTTCTGCCAAAATGACCAGGGGAAAAACTAAGAAGTTTCAGCTAAAACTAAAAAGGAAAAGCAAGTTGGGGAAGAAGGAAACAAGAAAAGATAATAAATGTGTCTGGAATGTTTCCAAGTCACTTAAACTCAGTTTCTTCCTCCCACTGAAAAGAGCTAAAGGCCATTAAAGCTGAGACCTGCGACCTGTGGGAATGGAAGACAGGCCTGGGTGGGGCGGGGCTACACCAGGCGCATGTGAAGCAGCCAGGTGGAAGAAACTCACTGGCTTTTGTCTTTTCATATTTTTAGACTCTGTAGAATTGTGTGTTTATAGAACTTTCCCTGACTCTGAGAAAAGCAGCCATGCAGGAATGTTGATAGGTAGCAATTTCTTGGTACAGTTGTTGGGGAAACAGTAGGGAGTAAGGGCAACTGGCTGTCCTAGGGAGGCATGCGCCCACCTAAAGGGGTGCCTGAGACACCCCCCTACACCTTTTGAGGGCTAGCTGATGGCTGCTTGATAGGAAAGCAAGTACTCACTCTGGAATTTTCTAGGAAAGTCAGAATGAATCAACTAAATTTTAAAATCTTGGAATCTTGACTTGGTTTCTCTCTCTCTGCCTTCTCTTCCTTCCTTCCTTCCTTCCTTCCTTCCTTCCTTCCTTCCTTCCTTCCTTCCTTCCTTCCTTCCCTCTGTCCCTCCTTCCTCCCTTCCTTTTATAATGTGCTGCTAGTCCTATAGATCTCTGCTTTAAATCAACAGTGCACCACTACATGCTTATGAGTTAATTCCACTTATGATCTAAGGGAAATGGAACTGTGAGGGCAGGGTTCCCACCAGCCTCCTAAGAGTGTAAGCAGTTTCATGCTGGGTCAGATGGGAGGGTCCAGTCCTTCTCAAAGTGGGACCAAGGGACCATTCAGAAAGAATAAGCATTTATTCTCCATCTTGTTAATTCTAGTTTGAGGAAGTTAAGAGTCTCTCAAATATTTCAAATTTTCTTTCTTTTGATGTATAAAAGATTTCAAAAGCACAGGCAAGAGCAGAGTGAATCATACATGTAGCTTACTTCATTAACTCTAACAAAACTGCAGTCCCCCCTGCCCCAACTCACCTCTTTCTCTCTCTCTCTCTCTCTCTCTCTCTCTCTCTCTCTCTCTCTCACACACACACACACACACATACACACACACACACACACACACACACACATCACATTAAAGTAAAACACGGATGCTGTGAGTGCTCTTGGCTCCTCCCCTTCCCAGAAGGAGCCATTATCCTGAATTCCATGTTGCTCCTTTCCATGTGTGTTTTCTTAGGCTAAAAATTGTTAGTGAATCTGAGAGAGACAGGCAGTGATGGGGAAGAGGGCATGTGCTAGAGATAGGAAGGAGATCAGAAATTAGTCGGAATACATTGTATACATGTATGAAATGGTCAAATAACAAAATTAATCAATAAAAATTGTTTTTATAAAATCTTTCACCCCTGGGGCTGAAGAGATGGCTCAGCGGTTAAGAACTCTGGTTGGTCTTGCAGAAGACCCGGGTTCGAATCCCAGCACCTACATGGCAGCTAACAACTGTCCAAAACTCCAGTCCCAGGGGATCTGACAGTCTCCTCTGACCTCCGCGGACATTGCATGACACAGGTGGCTTCTGTTGGCAATGCATGTATACACACACACACACACACACACACACACACAAAATTAAAAATAAATAAAATTAAAAAAAAATCTTTCACCCCTTATTTTAAACACCTGAACTGTTTCAGATAAAGGCAAAATCTGGGGAGCTTTTTAAATTCTGGAAGAATCAAATTTGAGTCAAAAGGCTCTTGGTTAAGTCATTTACTCTCTCCATGGGTCATTTCCTCCTTGGAATGTGATCTTTGCCTACCCATTCCACTGGAGTGGGATGACAGTATTTGCTCACAGCAGTGTGAATACGTGTTCTTTGGAACCACATGCAAGGTTCTAGCACTTTGATTAATGAATTCCTTCTGTGTGTCCCTCC